GTGTGTGTGTGTATGTGGTGTGTGTGTGTGTATATAGTATATATGTATATATATATATATATGACTGCATATGCAGTCCTTGGTAGGAAATTTGAAATTTGCTTGATCGGGTATAGTTGGGTGTGGTTGGAGGTTTGTTTGTGGGTTGTGTTTCGTGGGTTTCGAGATGTAGTTACCTAGCATATAATGCGTTGCCATTAATGTGATTGTCGGCCTGCCCAACATGTGACGCCAATTGTTGGTCAAGAAGCCTAAGTTTGTGGTAAAATTGCTAGCGAGCAGATCGGGATCGCGTGTCGTGTAGTATTCTTCATAGTCGATATGCTGTGTGTGTACAAATTATTGTTGTTGTTGTTGTTGTTGTTGTTGGTTAAAAAGAGAGAGAACAGAGAGAGAATTTCGTTTCTACAATTTCGGCCAATTTATAACAGGGGAAATCGGATCTCTTTCTTTCATTTGGTTGGGATGGGAATATAGTGCAAAGCATAGAGAAATAAATGATATCCAAGGAACAGAATAAGCTACTTATATGTATAGATATGTATGCATGTATATATATTTATGTTTATTTATGTATATTTATGAGAGCTGCAAACTGATTTAGGCATACAAAACGAAAGAGAGTTTTAAGTACTGATGTGATTATCATATGCATATATAAAGTAGATTCTCTGCGCAGCTGTTTGAAGAATCTCTCAGCTTGAAGATCAGCTAAATACTCAATCGCTTGCTGTTTTGTTTGCGCACCAAGCTGTAACCATTTGAGAATTCTATGGCTGCAGCTTAGGCATACATATATATGTATATATATATGTACGATTTATCCTAATGTATAAATATTGAAATATATACATATATACACATATATTTATATATAAAGACAGAATATAAATTCTATAATACAAAGGCTATTCCTGATACACATACATATATCAGTGTGTGTGTGTGTGTGTGTGTATGAATATTTGTTTGTGTCTGTGTCTGTGTTTTGGTGTCCACTACCAAAGAAAAGTTTAGTTTGCTAAGCTATAAGCTATATGTATGTATATGTATGTATATGTATGTATATATATGTATATATGTAGTATATCTAGAAACCAACTCAACTAAAACTAAACTAAGAGACTAAAGCTGAAAACAACATATGTGCAGATGTATATCTATATATATATATATCTACATATCAATATGTTCGTGTGTGTGTGTGTTTGTGTTGTGATGTTTGTACAAAATAACTACAAATGAACAATCATAATTAGAACAGAAATAAAATTAATAATAATAACAAATCTTTTTAATAACAAAATCCAAATCAAACTAATATGCAATTTAACTGTAACCATACACCATACACCACACACACACACTCACACGCACGCACCCACACACGCACACACACACACATATATATATATGTATATATATATAGGCGATAAATGTAACAATTGTACAGCTAAATACTAAATGAAAATTAAAACGGATTGGGATTTAAGCAAGGTGGACCGACCTAAGTGGATGCGCTTCAGCACGAGCGTTACTAAGGGACGACCCAGCAGATCCCAAGCGGACTTGAGAAAATTGATCTCGCCTTTAAGGATGTCAATCATGAGTTCGTTATCGGAGGCGATATAGAAGCGCGACAAGTCGACAAACTAATGCGTAATACAATAATAATAATAATCATAATATAAATAATAATAGCACATGTGTAGAAAATAAATATTTAAAATAATTGAAATCAGAGAAGAAAGAATGAGATTTGGATAGAATAATATTGCCCTAGAGAGCGTACACACAGAGAGCGGTACAAAGTGCGTTTAGGTGGGGCCTTTTGATCCACTGTGATCCGAGTCATTTACCTGCGGAGTGAAGGCAAAGATGCGATCCTTCAGGGAGTACAATTTGCTGGTACTCAATATGCCGACATCGCGCGATTTGCGTCCACTTAGTCCCAGCTTGCGATTCCGTCCCAAGTACGTGTACAAATGGCTGAGCACACGTGCCGGCTGCACCTCAATGGGTGCCACATCGGCAATCGTTTGCACATGCAGATCGTGCTCGGCCAGCTTGTCGCGAATCTCGTTGTCCTCGGCTATGATGACCACTTGAACGACAACATCGGGCTTCTTTTGGGCGCCCAGGCGACGATTCAACGGGTCCAGCTCGCCCACAGCCAAAAAGCCCTGAAAGAACATGATACAGCTTGAAAAAGGAATATCCACAAGACTCGTTCGAGATGCACCCACCTCCTGTAAGAGGCGACCTAGAATAAACAGCGACTGGCCCCATAGGAAGGGACAGCGGCCAACAACTACGCGCTCCTGCGAGCCGGGCTTCTGATATTCAAAGCCCACCAAATCTTGCGGCACAGCATAGCTTTCAGGTATCAGCAGTGTACCATCCTCTGAGCGTACCATTATCTTCTCCAGCCGATTCGCATACTCCTGCACCAAGACTTTATCATTTTGAAATGCGTGGAACAGTATCAGATAGCAATAGAAGAGCGGCCATTCGCATTCAATGTTTTCAAACATGCGCAATTCCCAGCGCTCATAATAGAGACGCGAGGGATCCTCCTTGGGTGTGCGATAGCCGTCGCGCAAGAAGCGTTTGCAGCCATATTTTCCCTGCAAGCGCGACAATATTGCATCCCGTGTATTGTGTATTAGCTGGGCATCGTCAACAGCAAAAGCTGGAAAGCCAATGACACACAGCAGGCCAGAATCCAGCTCCTTACTGTTCGACTCACGCGGCAGCATGGACTGCAGCACTGCTTGGCACTTGTGCGCCTCGTCGGCAAGGACATGTATGACACTTGCGGGTCCACCGCGTGCTCCAAACAAATCCAGCTCGTTCATGGCCTCTAATGCGGCCTTTGCCATGCCGATGGAGCTGGCATTCAGTTCGGGCTCACCTGTCACCAATAAAATACCATAATGAATGCACCTATTGCATGTGGAAGGTGTAAGTACTCACCATGATTGGTCTTGTCGCCGCGTTCCCAAATACCATAGTCTGGTATGGAGTAAGCCGATTCAATGTAGAATACCAGATTTTGTATGAACGACACCTCGTCCAATGAAAAAACAATCTGAAGACCGGAGGCGGTCATTTGGGCTAGAATTAACAGGTATAGGGATACCGCATCGATTTGCAAATGGCCCCATTCGTTGTCTCCGACAACGGGCAAACCATTTTTGCTGGAGTATTTGGCATGCAGCGAATCGAAGGGGCTTTGGGTCATTTTGAATCTCTCGACCTTATCTTTTTGATTCATCATGGCCATGAGCAGGCCGCGCATCAGCTTGACACAGCTTTGCTCCAGTTCATAGCACTTGGCGCGATCCTCATCCTGATCGGCGATCTTTTTGTAGGCCATTGACAGGCCCCACACGGCCAGAATGCAATACACATTGTCGCGTATCCATGCATGCGAATTGACATTTGAGGCGGGAAATAAACCGGTCACTGGCTCCTGATGTGCCAATATTAAGCGATGCACAATTCGTTGATAGTAGTCGAGGCGAACCCCGGAATTGCTACGAGAACGCATCTCGGTTTATCGTCCCCTTCTTATCTACGCGTTATTCTGTTGTTAGGACAGGTGAACGTTTTATGATCTAAATCTTGATAGTTGCTCCAACATTCACTTACATAATTACCTCTAAGAGCGTCAGTTGTCGAGTATGCGACGAGATGCTCTAAGCGTATGTAATTGTTGTCAATGTCTCAGTGTTCTCCCCCAACGGCCACCAACCCGCCGCCCAGACACCCACCCACACAGCAGCAACAGCAGCTGGCTGCACTTAGAAGCTGCTGTAAGCGTTGTCAATGCACAGAAATTGTCGCATTATCGTTGTGTGTAGATAGTGGACACGTGTGCTACAAAGTAATTAAAAACAATCGTCCACTGTTTCAATTGCAAAAAATAAAATTAAGAACTAAATCGGTAGAAATGCTAAAATTATACTCCGAAATGTCAACTCAATGTCATGTCGACTATCGATATATCATTATCAAGACCAATATCGATTATACGTATCGACAAAATACACTAGCCCAGAATTGCAGCGCTGTCTCGATAACTAATTGAAATGTGAAATTTGTGTTGATTGGCGGCAAATTTAAATTGTCTTGCCCAGAACACATTATACTTTGTTAATCTTAGTTTGAGATATCGCTGATATCAGCTTCTAAACCTACTACTACTACTAGAGTTCTACTGGTTCAATAAAGCTAATATGATCGTTGTCATTTCGAAGCAGATAAGACTATGTGAGATGCTTTTTTGTACGTAAGATGTTCAATCGGATTATTCGAGTTTTTTTCATACTAAGTTTTCTATACAATAGTATCTATACTGGCCATGGTAAGATTTGATTCAAGTCTGATTTCAAAAGTAAGAACTTCACGAAGTGCTTATACTTCACATCCAGAGATCTGCAAATTTATTTTCTTATCTAATGGTGTCAAAGTTTAAATGCGCACTAACGCTGTGGTAACAGGAAAATTGCATGTCGAACTAGATTATTAGTGAGCTGAAACTTAAAATATTTATTCGTCATACAGTTAAAAATTCAGCGTTCTCGTTCACAGTTCCCACAATGCATCACGGCCGTTGTAGAGTGGATGGGAAGATTGGATATTGCAAGCAACGTTCCTTGTGCTGGGAAAGTGACGTTGAGCTAAATAACTCCAACCGTTTCGACTGCTCAAGTACTAAACGATCAGATCTAGTATGCTGTCGACGTCGCACACCAATAGAAATTACCTCGACTCAATTGCTTGTTGAAAACTCCATTCATAATGATCTGCTGCCCCCGCCGGGTGTTTGTGGCATTACCCCTTTAATGAATCGCATTTTCCAAGGCGAACGGGCGGACATTCAAGAATTTGGCTGGACGGCTTTGCTGTTTTATTCGAACGATGGTAACTTGTCCACTTGGCTTGAACTGAACTTGTTGCTAACAACTCCAGTTTGCAGACACGAACTACAGCCCGATGTGCGGTGGAGCTCTCATAAATAATCGATGAATATTGACGGCGGCTCATTGTGTGATCCGTCAGTATAATATTCGAGCGCGTCTGGGTGAGTGGAATACGACCAGCACACTTGACTGCCATGAGTATAAGAATGGTAACAGGGTCTGTGCTCCACCGCACATAGACATCAATGTTGACCTCATTAAGGCACATGAGCAATATCGAAGCACCTCCGGCCATTTCAACGACATTCTTAGCCATACTGCCGTGAGCTATACTGACTTTGTGATACCCATATGCCTGCCGCCAGCAAAAGAGAAGTATGAGGATGCCTATTCTGGACATGCCATGGAAATCGTTGGTTGGGGAAAAACTGGCAAAAGAAACTTCAAAGGCAGTACAATCAAGATGAAGGCCATTTTAGAAGTCATCTCCATCTCCGAATGCCTACGAGTGCGTCAGCAGATCGACCCTGGCCAAATGTGCGCCGGTGGCCAAACACCGCAAGGTAGCTGCAAAGGCGACTCCGGTGGTGCGTTAATGCTGCGAAACACAAGTTTTGCCATTCCCACGTACTATTCCATTGGCATCATTTCACTCGGCCAGCAATACTGTTCACCTAGACAAATACCCCAGATCTTCACAAGAGTTGAGGTCTATGTGCCCTGGAAATTGATACAAAGCATGCCAATTCTTAGGATTATTTCGTTTATAATATGACTGTAAAAATATGTATACATATATATATATATATGTATATGTATATTATGTGAATGTATGTTTGCATTTATGCCACACTTTCAGGATTAATCAAAAGGTTATTATTATTTTTATGAAGTCAAGTCTAGTCTTAATCACGTCGGCTACGTTTACGATCTGAGTGGCTGCCACGTTCGTTCTTTTCGTCGGCACGCTTGGGCGCCTTTTTGGCCATGTTCAAGAACTTGTCGAGACCGAAAGGATCCTCCTCCTTCTCAAACTCAACTGGCCCGTTACGCTGGGCGCCAGCAGTATCGCGCGAACCAGCTCCAGAAAACTGTTTGTCGGGTACAAAGCGCTTCGTATTGACAATGGTATCCAAGTCTCCGCCATAGTTGTCGCTGTCTGCCTGCTTGCTAGGCCGATAGATGTGAGCGCCCATTGTGTTGGAATCGCGCCATGGCTTGTCATAGACATTGTAGGCCTCGTCGTCACCGTAGCCCGAGTCCATGCCCTTTGTGGTGTTGAAGAGTCGCTGGTCAAACAGTGTTTCACCATTGCCGGCGCTCTTTGCTGGCAGGCCCAAGGCAATCTGCTCAGATATGTCACGCTCCCGTTCGCGCTGCAACTTTGTGCGTTTCTCTGGTGCAGCTCGTTGCAAATTGCGGTCACGTTGTCGTTCCCTTTGTCGTTCGGCACGCAAATCGTTACGTTCACGCGCATCGGCACTACCACCCGGTGCATCTGGTTCGGGATTGCGTAAGCCAGCACGCTCCTCACGTGCACGTTGCGCCATCATACGCAGCATGTCCTCCTTCTTCTCCTTTTCTTTCTGCGCCAACTTCTTCTCCAACTGGGCGCGAGCTTCGACGGCTTCACGCGCCTTTCTGTCGGCTATGTAAAGAGCTTCCGCCATTTTGGCGAACTTTTCGTTAATGTGCACTTGCTGCAGGCCACGACCATCAGCGGCCAAGCGCTTATCCAATGGTATGGTATAACCTAGTGAATAAAACGAATCGTATCAATTAATTGAATGTGCATGAAATGTATGTTAAGTCAAACCTTTGGCGTTCTTCCAATTCGATATGCAGGGCGGTATTTTCCATTCCTTTTGCTCCTTGACGGTCACCTTGCGTGAGGGCGAGTGCAGAACGGGTGCTGGTGGTGATGGGGGTCCGCGTGGTATCTTCTTGTTAATGCGAAACTTGGGAGGCTCCATGGGATCTTGCTGCGCCTCCACCATACGAATAACGCGCTGTTTGGCGCCAGAGTTGAAAGCATCGCCCTGCTGCGATGGCGTATACCGAATGTATTGCGCAGGTGCTGCCTTTTGGGCATGGCGCACAGGAAGCGCTGAGGTAATCTTCTGGTTGGTCAGTTTCTCTAGAGCTAGTCGTGTTTCCTCGGTTGTTTCGGCAACGGTTTCTTCGTCGGGACGCTGTAACTCTTCAGCGTCCTCGGCTAAAACTTCAGCGGGCAGCAGTTGAGATATCGACGAGTATACGATTTTGTCTTTTCCGTGACCCTGGCGGGCAATGGCATCATATTTAACTTTGCCTTTATCATCAAGACGCACGGCCAGAGCATCTGGTTTCTTGCCCACATTGGCAGGCGCCCCAAGACCTGAACGACAGAAGATGTTCATACAACTTCTATTGTTGTTTATCGTTGCAAACTTACCCAGTGGATATTGCGCTACGTGTATTTCGGGAAATGCACCGCCATCCCCAAAGTCAGCCTCTGTGCGTGGTATCCAGTCCTTGCGCTGACCGTAAGGTGGCGCTGCTATTTTGGCGGACACCAGGGCACCAATCATTGGAGCACCTTTGGCTGTCAAACGACGCTCGTCCTCGCGATCCCATACCGCGTTAGTCGGTGTGGGCAGAAGACTTGATAACGACATTAGAAGTTTTTGGATATTTGTTTTTTAGACTTTAATTGATATTTGCAGATTGATAATGATGAAAACTACTGCGAAGAAAATATGAACACACGCACGCACACTATTATACACAGAAGTTTTCAGTTTAGTGTGACCGTTTGAGAATAATCAAAAAATACTGATACACTGTAAAATCGAAATGAAAGTAAACTATTTTCTAGTATTTAATTGGACATGGACATTTTCGATATCAGTTGCTTAACATTGGAATTTAAAATTCATCTGTAACATGATATGCTTATGTTAAGACAGCAGGCACGATTGAGTGTCTTTTAACAGTCGATCATCAACCGCTCAACTAACTGCACATTTGATGCAGCCCGACTGCGCTTGAGCTGCAATGTGAGGCTCTCTATTGGAATTTATTTATTAAATGACTTTTCACCTACGCCACCTACAATATTGAGAAGCTTTGCGGCATAATTTTCAATTGATTTGAATTATTTGCTCTGTTTGCTTAATATTTTTAGGAACTCATTCCACATCATCGTACAAAATAAATGCTATAAAACGGCGACAAGATCAACATACGAGGACAGAACATTTAAAACGAAGTAACTTATTGACTAATTATTGCGCATGCGTTCGATTGGTTTCCTTGCCTGTATACGCAAACGTTTCGAGGAATTGGACGGCGACATTTGAGTGCAGCTCGCGTTGTCCAGGGTTTGGGTTCGTTTGCGTTTCAAGCTCTGCAAGTCGGCGTCGTCATGGGAGTGAATTGTGCGCACCAATGAGCCAGCAATGGAGGCACAGCGTCTAATCAGGGAGCCAGAATTAGAAGTAGACGGGATGTTTTCCTTATCGCCAGCGTTGCTATTGGGATCCGTTCGCAGGGTCTGTGGCAGGCGCATAACAGATGAGACCAAAGACCAGAGACGTCCTTGCCGCTTCTTGTCGTTCTGTGTTGATGCGCTGTTTGGCAAGAAGATCTCGTCCTCATCGTCACTGCCGATATCCTGGACGCAGCTGAAGGACTTTTGATGATGGCACACACGCAGGGGTGGACGAGCTCGTGGTCCTTGAGGTCGTGGTCTTTCAGCCCGTTTTGTCTCTGCCATGAATTGACCGCTTAGCTGGCGCGGCACAATCTGCTGCCTACGTCGCTCACTGTTGCTGGGCCCAGCACTCGGGCTGCCAGCAATGGCCGCCAATGGGCTGTGGCTCGGATTGGGCGTATAAAAGATTTCCTTTTCATCCGGCGTCGAGTTAGCCAATTGAGTTGTTTGCATATTTGGTTTCAGAGGCGTCTCAAACTTGATGAGCTTCTTGTTGATGATGGCGCCGGGCACGCTTGTGATGGGTGTTATCGGCGGCACCACCACGGGACAGTCGACCTGGGCTGGCCGTAAGTTGGTGCTCAGCTCGGCAGTTGATGTGGAGGAAGTGATTATCTCCACACTCTCACAGGAATTGTAAACTGTGCTCGTGGTGCTGGTGCCGGCAGCGGCGGCAATCAGCGAAACGCTGTTCCCGGCATGCTGGGTGCGGGTTATGATAATGGACTCCCTTGTTAGCTTCTGAGCGGAGAGCAGTATCTGATAGGATTCAGGACTCTTCGATTCCTGGCCATGGTTTTTGTCGCTGCCGCTACTGCTGCTATTGCTGTTGCTGTTGCTGTTGCTATTGCAGTTGCTATTGCTATTCCTATTGCCGCTGGAGTCGTCGCTCTGCGTGCGTCGAACTACTGGGGACAGGCGCAAGTCCAGTGGCAGGGCGGCATTGGGTGACCTGTTGACCTCGTTCAAATCGAGGCGCATGCGCCTCTGCTCGCTCTGGCCAGGGAGCATGCCCACGGCGCCATGCTCCACGAAGGCCTTCTGTATGCTCTTGGACATAACCTGACGCAAGGGCGTCACGGCGCTCATCTTGCCACGGCCACCAACCTTCCAGGTGCGCTGATGCTGCGGAGGCACTAAGTGGCTGCTGTCTGGCGCCGAATTAGGCTCATCCAGAGCATAGCCGCTGTGATAGATGCTCGACACCTGACCGCCCCCAACACTGGACGCATTAAATGTTAGCGGCTCTTTGGGCTTGGCGAACATCGTGTAGACCTGCAGCGGCGTTGATGTGGAGCGTATGACCTTGCCCTTGATCTTATCATTGCAGTGCACACTATCTGGCTGCGCACACACTTGTCCAATGCTGCGACGCTGCTGCCCGGACAAGTTTACACTTTCTGACGATAAATTGCGTATGGATGAGACGCTATCGCTTATGAATTCCTCCTGAGTCAGGCGACCTTTGGCCTTCCAACGTATATTAAATAGCGATATGGGCGTTAAATTCAAATGCTGATGCGTTTCGTCCATCTCTTTAGCTATGTGGGGCGAAGTCTGTGTTGATATGGTATTGGCGGCCACAGTTGCCTTTTTCACCGTTACCTTCGAGGCCTCCGTGTCGTAGGTCGCATTCTGCGCCGTGCTGGCTGCGCTGCAATTCTGACCCAAGTCAACACATTTGCTAAACTCTTTCAGGTCATCGATCTTGGTATAATGGCGCAAGCACTTGCGACAGCGCAGCGGCAGGTGCACACTCTCGATGTGGGCCAGCAGCTCGGCATACATCTCTTTGCGCAGCGTGAGCGGCTTTTGCTCACATATCGGACAGAAGACATAAATGGTTGAGGTCTTTACCTCAATGTCATTGCCAAGGCCAACCATCTTTGAATGCTGCTCTATAGGCTGGGTTACGGCAATGGCGTGTGCTTCGAATTGATGCTTTTGGCGGCACTTGCCGCAGCAAAAGATTCGTTTGCAAATATGGCACTTAACCTACAAGGATATATGTACGTAGATTCAAAATATAAACAAAACATTTGCCAATTATGTGTAATATCTAACCTCATCGGAAAAACGCATTTTATTAATGGGGTAATTCAATTAAAATTGCGATCTCAATTATAATCAACTTAACTTTTCCATGAAGCACTAAACTAATACAGATATGAAATTACAACGGTTCTTTTCGTACATATTTGCATGCATGCATTTAAATAGAATGGTCAGCCCCTTATTCGATATACAATAAATATCGATTACACCAATGATATTCGTGGGAAATTGTGAGGTAATTATTTGGGACACAATAACGGCTATTTTATATGTACACCTTTTTCAAATGCAACCGCCACATATATGTATATACACATATACAACTATGTATGCACGCATACATATGCGTTGCAAACGTGGCTGCCTATTGTGGACAAATTTTAACTTTATAATTTTACGCTAAATATGTACATACATAGAAATGTATATTCAAAAAGACATCTTAAAGTTACGCTTTGGTAGCTTTCTGTGAGAAACTTCATAATTGCTTTATTTGCATATAATTTTTGTATTACAAACATAAAAATAAGTATTCAGCTTATGTCATACAAAAAATGTAATATGATCTGTAAGAAAAATTGAATGTCTTTGGTTATATGACTTTGAATGTGTAGTTTTGAATATGGTTTTCTTTGAAAGAAAAAAAAAATAAAAAATGTAATACGATCTGTAATACAAAAAAATCCAATTCTTTTGGATATACATGCAACATACTTCTGTATGTATTGATGTGTGTGGATATTAATAAGAATGAGTATTAATGGTATTAGAAAAAGGGGTCTCAGGCTTAGCTGTTTATACCCCTTGTGTGGACGGTTTGGCTTCAGAAATATATTTCTGTAAACGACTATGCACTCCTCCGTCCGTGTACATTGGGATGTGCTTAAGTACAAAACTGTTTAGGTCATTGCCGCTCGAGTCGTAGATGTTTTCCACGAAAAATAGATCAAGAAAGCCAAAATTAATATCGGCAGTAAAAACGCGATTCTGCTTGGCCGGAATTTCGAAAAATTTATGACGCACCAACTTCTTGGCGTCGTCTGGCCAAATGCGCTCCATGTTAAAGGGCGATAGACCAGTGATGCGTAGGTCGTACGCTTCACAGGGCTCGTCCTTAAACTTTTCATCGCAGATCAGCAGTTCATCTTGCCTAACTATATAAAATTCAACACCAGAATCCAGCTGCTTGACCTCGATGCGATCTACAGATTCGATTCGAATTATGCTCACGCGTTGGTAGAGATTGTGAATTTTCAGCACGTATACATCGTTAAGCAGGGGTTTTGTGCACTTCGGATGGTTTATCATGGATTCATAGTGCAATTGAAGCTGATCGCCAAAATATGACAAGGGAGTGTGCATGTAGTATCTGGCGGTAGCTTTCTCAATTAGCCTCACAGCGGTCTGGGCCGGATTCACGCTCTGTTGGTTGGATAACAAGTATTTGAATTATCAGTATACACATATGTAGAAAATGACCTATTGTTCACTTACTGAGATCACGTAGAATTTGATTGTGCCCTTGGTAGGAGCATCGTCCAACGGCTTCGTTTCGTAGTCCCACAGAAAGTGCCGAAAGTAGCACGTGTGCCGTATACAGTTCCCATAGGACTTGAGCATGCGGCACAGCGGAAAGTCTGGACGCGACTCTAAGGCATCGAACACTATACGGCATTCGGTTAGTACCGTCAGAAAACTTTCGGGTGGATGACGATTGTGCTTGAGCATAAAATCGCAAAATAGCCAAGCTTGTTCAAATTCGTTGGGACGCATGACTACAACCGATGTGCCTCTGAATTTTTCTATACCACATAGATAGTTGTTGTAGAATATGCTGAACTGAGCCTTAAAGAATGGCCAGATACTGTAGCCGTAGTGAACCAAAAAGTCAATACATCCGCCACGCAATTTATCAATCGAATCCTCAGCGACAACTAGCACACGGCGCATATGACTCTTGCACCAATCCTTATAGAGCTGGTTTGTTTCCTGATCGAATCGCGTAATAACCAAGTTGTCGATGCTCTTGGTGTTAAGTAGCTTGCTCAGTGCAGATACATCTATATTTCCGCCGCAGGCCAGCACTACGCGCTTCTTCATCAACTGCTTTTCGGCGAGAATATTCAGTAATTCCCCATCATAATTATTTGATACGAGAAAGTCAAAGTTGATTCCAGCAAACATAGCCGCTTCCAATGCGTCCTCGAACACGAGCAGAATATCGGGCAATTCCCTCATCAGTGGCTTCATAAACGAATCAATCCACAAACGTCCAACGACGAACAACTGGCTGTGGCCCTTCTCAAAGCGCAGCACGGTTAAGATCCAGTATATTATCTTCTGGCAATGAGTTCTGCCTCCACGCCAGATGCTATCGATGCCATCGAAGGCAACACACTTTAAGGCAGCCGGATTAAATATGGACTTTGTTTTGCCATTGAGCAAATACAACTTCACTAGATTGTCAACAGTGGCTATCAAGATGCCGCAGGGTTTTCTCATAGTTTCGACAACCTCGTCAATACAGTTACGGCTGAGTGCTTTAACAACTTGCTCCAAATCCAAGCGCGTCGTGCCTAACAATTCCATACACAAATTGGCGATTTCATTTCCCTCTTTCTCATTCACGCAAACTATTATGCAGCTGGGGCCGCGATCGGTGTTATCCAGTATACGCGGCGGTGTCTTCAGCATGATGTGCTGACACAGCGTGGGCAAATAGCTCCAGGTTTTGCCAATTCTCTCATTCCCAATTATGCACATGGAGCCACCAGAAGCTGCATGTGGCCAAGCAAATCGCTGTACGCGCTTTGCTCGCATCTGTCCAATATTCTGGCGCCGCAGGGTTTCCTTCAAATATGGACTAAATTCAGGCACATCGTTCGCGCTGTAACGGGAAATCTGTTCAGTGCGACTCCAAGTAAATATGCCAAAGGCGTTGTAAGAGTAAGGACACTTTTGGGCATTGGAGCTCTGCTGATTGTTTGAGAGTTGTTTTACATTATTTTTCTTCAATATAACACCGTCATTATATATGGCATCTGAAACAGACAACGCATTAACCTCTTCAATCTTATTCTTTGCAATTGAATGTGTTTCATCTAACTCGGTCGGCTTATCGCCCTCTTGAATATCACTGTTTGGTATTGGAACCATTTTAGCATATATAGAATGTGTTTCATCTAACTCGGTCGGCTTATCGACCTCTTGAATCTCACTGTTTGGTATAGGAACCAATGGTGGCATTTCATCTAAATCGGATGGCGTATCTACAGTGATTGACATTGATGAAATATTTTCTGATGAATTTTGTATGTTCTGTGCAGTTCCTGCAGTCGGAATTGTTTGTTTTTGGGCCTCTGAGGTCTCATTCTTTTGGTCACCAGCTTTTTGCTGTACCAGATTTTCGATTTTGCGTTTTATTACTAATACTTTCGTCCCTTCAGCAGGCTGGGGAATCAGCAGTTGCACACGTTTTTGAAAAATATGCGGCAATGTCTGGGAGTAGTGCACCAGGAAGTTAACTTTTATATTGCCGATGTTCGACAAATGTTTCAACATTGCATCGCATACAACCAAGACGGAGTTGAGGAGCTATCAGAAGAAGCACATTGAAGTTATGCGTATATTATATTATATGCGTATAATTTAAGCCATTGGACTACTTACACCGTCGTTCCATAACAGGATACCTGAATCAATTGCCTTGGAAGCCACATTCACCAAGAGGCAGCCAATGCTGCGTTTGCCCAATTCTTTCAATACCTTTGCTGCCTGATTCTCTAGTTCACAGACAACCACAATGCGTACAGTATTAAAATCTTTAGTTCTGAGGCATGTGGCCAAGAAATCAAGACCCGCATCTTCAGATGATGGCGTCACATAAGTATATTCCACATCGTCACAAATATAATTTGTGACTTGCTCATTTCCACTTAGATTTCCGTTCTCATTTATTTCCGCTGATAATGTAGCGTTTTCTAATAGTGGCTGTGTGTTATACCGGTCAAGCTTGATAGATGATTCAAGAGCTCTAAATAAGTTTGCTCGACCTATGCCACCAATTGGCTTCATCAAGCTGAATAACAAGTAATGACAAATTTCAGTACAATCTGCTTAGATTAAGCTCTTTTAACACTTTTAATATATATTTACCCAGAATTAGAAGCCGCATTCATAGTTGCACGAAAAACCAGTACACGCCACAAACCAAGTCAAATGTCAAATTGAAAAAAGTGCAAGCTAAGCAGTTATAGCAATGGCGCCGATAGCGATTATTACAAATCCAGTGTTAGTAAACAATGTCTTTCTTATACGGTATCACTTTGTTGTGTGGTTAGTATTAATACATGACATTAATAACATACATGGATAAACAAGAAACAAAAAAAAAAAAATAATAAATAAAACAAGGTTTTTTATCAATACATTTTATATTTTATAGTCTATATTCATAAAACTTTCAAATTAAACTAGAAATTATGACTATTGTAATAGTTCTAAGGTAGTTGCCTGTGTAGTTTTTTATAATTAGAGAAAATCGTTATTTATATCTATTTCGGTATTTTCTTATTGGAAGCGCTAGCAATTATGGCCACACTTGGCTTACAATTTGTGTAATGTATCGATATTGTTAATATCTCGAACATATGTATTACGATAGTTGTTTCAACAGCCCTTATCAAATAATAACTCGGCCTGTTTGTCCATAATTTGTGTACTTTCGGTTTCAACTTTTGCTGTGATGACAGTTTAGAAAATGGACGACATTAATAATAACTTTAATCCAAATAAGCTGCCATTAGACGAGCTAAAGATAACAATCATTGGCAACGATGGTGTCACACGAGAAGTGCCTGCACTTGTAAGAATTGAAATAAAGCCTATCCACAACTAATAATGACTATAAATCCTCGAATATTTACTACAGGATTCTCATTGGCTGGCGCCTGATAAGAAATTTAGTGGTTATTTCTGCTTGCTAAGCACCTTTGATACGCTCAGGTCGGGCGCCGAATTGGACGAGTGGCGTTACCTTGCCATTAACGTTGAGAAAGACTTCGAGTTCCTTCTTCAATTAAAACATCATGAGTAAGTGCACCTTAGGTGCAGACACACACAAATATATGTACGTCAAGCTCCATCCATACATTTTGTTTTGTTTTTTATTTTTTTTTTTCACTTCGTTTATTGTAGATCTATTTCTCAACTCTATAGTTTTAGATATACCTTAACTATGAGTTTTTGCAGCAGATCCCCACAATTGCATTATATATTTTCCTTTTGCTATATAATAACAATGTCGAGTTTTTTGCCATCCATACTAAATTAAATTTACATCTACAGATTCTGGTCATATATGGTGTATAATAAAGCGACCAAGACCTGTCTTCTAGCATTCCTTCAGGGATGCAATCCCTGCTATCGACCGCGGACCCATGGAAATGAGTCAAGTGATGAGCAGCTCAATGCATTGGCGTTTTATGAGCATCTGCTCAATCTGGCTGTGCGCGTGGTCATGCGTCTGCTTACTTCGAATGAATCGCCTACAGAATGGATAAAACCGGAGCATCACAGCAACCTATTGTATAACCACTATCTGATGTCTGTGCCGTTGCTGTGCGATTTGGTTATTGCACTGGGCGATGTCGATGAACAGAACGTGAAAACGCTGCAAAATATATTTGATACTCTGGTGCGCATTCAGCCGAAATACAAAAGAGACATGATGGAAGGTTTGTCCTTCTTTGAGGATGCATTTCTCAGCATGCAGATTCAGGTGGAGAACGAGGGCTGCGAAGGTGCCGGCGGTGGCCCCCCCCTGGATCCTAATGCCGATTCACCCTACGACGATGTTGTGGTATTTGCCTTAGATTGTGCCTATACGCTACGTTTGCTCCTCCAGTATAGCCCTTCTCTGTTTATGGTCTGCGAAGAGCTTAAAACTGTACAAAGGTATACAAGAGAGAGAGAGAGAGAGAGAGAAAAAAAACGGACAGACAGTGAGAGAAAAAGGGGGATAATATTATACTGACTTGTTTTCCGCTTCTTCACAGCATTTCCAATTTCTACGATCTGACCATCCCAATGCTAAATAAAAATATCTATCAGATTAAAGCAGATGCCAAGTCCTTGCCCTGGCTGAACGAGGCGCGACAGCAATTCCTGCTCGCTGTGCACTACATAGCCAGTGGACAGGTGCAAGCTGGTCATGGCGAGCAGCTGGTGGAGTTGCTGCAGGAATGCCTCTCGGCGCAGAACTTCATTGTGGACCTTCAACGTCAATATCCGGTGGAGGCCTATCTCAAGTTGCTCATGAAGAAGTGCCCCGACCTGTGAGTGGCTGTGTGTTCAAAACTTGATGCGAATTCTCGTTTATATATGTACAATCCATAGCAAAAACTACAATTTGGACTTCTTGATAAGCGGCTACCAGAAGGCGGTTAGCAGCTGCCCCCTCGGCACCCTCGCCGACGCATTGCTAGCCAATGGTCACAACTCTGATGATGAAGCTGGCGCATTCATCTTGCCGGTTGAGCCACTTCGCGTGACAACGCCTGCAGTTGCTGAAAATGGAGCTGCTCGCGACCTGGACTTGGAGGCGTCCGCTGTGCTGGATGTGCTCCCGGACCTGGGAATGGGCTTCATTCGACGCGTACTCACTCGTTACGAGAACAGCGAGCAGGCGATTGCCGCCATATTGGATGAGAATTTGCCGCCCGACTTGGCGAACGTGGATAGACAGGAGGTGTACATACCAGACGATCCGCAGGACAAATTGCAAAGCCAGATTGGTGTACGCCACTACAATGTGCACGATGGTGACAAGTACGACGTGCTCACCACTGACAACCCGCAGTGCATCATTAAGAAGGGCAAGGGGCTGCCTGGCGGGCCGCGCAACGCAGAGCAATTGTTGGACGACAAGCGCGACATTGGGCTAATGAAGCAGCGCTATGAGCAGTACTCCATGGTAGAGGAGACACCACTCGAACGTGGCGACGAGTACGATGACGAGTACGACGACAGCTATGAGGCATTGAACGATGGCCAGGCACCGCCGCTGAGTTTGTTGCGCGAAAAACTGCAGCAGGCATCAGCGACAGCTGCTAGCAGTGCCTTCGAGGCCCAAGACGCTGACGAGGATAACCAATACGCTGAGGCTAGCGATGATGATAACATGAATGCGCCAAAACGTGACGAATTCTGTGAGAATCCAGAGCTGATACGCGCACGCTATCAGCAGCGCCAGATGGCCAAGTACGGAGCGCGTGCCAAGGCCGAGGTAGTGGGCGCACCAAAGGGCCAGGGCCAGACACAGGAAACGACACGCAATCGCAGCCAGAAGGAAGCACACAAATCCTCGCGCGCCAACCACAATCGCAAGTCCGGCGCAGCCTTCAAGCGCAGCAGGGGCATGATACCCTAACTCATTCAAATATCATAACACATCACTCGTGATATCATAGCTCTTAATATATAACGGGCATTCAACTTTCCAATCAAATGAAAATGTATATTGAAATAAGTTGCGGCAGCTACAGAATCTGTTGAAAATAAGAAATGAAAAGTAAATAAAAAAAAAAAACACAACACAGCTGCTGAAACTGATCAAAATAAAAAATACGAATAACACTTGAAGAAAACGGATTTATTTAAAATTATGTCAATAAAAAAAAAAAATAGTGCAAAATTAAAAATAAAAATATGTTGAAAACAATTTTAAAGCTCTTTGTTTTGGGTTCAATTAGAAGATAGCTGCTGCTGGTGCTCCCTATATAGGACGTTGAGTGCTCGCATTTTGGCGCTGTGGCCGCTCTGCTGGCACTTGCCATAGTTGGCGCGCACGAACTCCTTGTAAGGCGTTACCAGCTGATCGGTGAAGGACAGGTTGTAGACGTCGTCGGTGCAGGACTCTACGTTAACCTCGAACTGGCAGTAGAAGCAACGCAGCCGCGACGCCTCGTCCTCGAACTTGATGCGCCCGAAGGAGCGGGCACGGCACAGAAGACAGGTGTACTTGTAGCTGGCATTGCAATCCACTATTTCCGGCAGCTCGGGCATCATCGATTTGGCGCGATAAGCCCTGCAGTTCATGAATATTATTTATAATGATAAATGGTTATATTTATTGTCTGATCTCCAATTGGTCATTTACCATTTGCGACAGTTGTCGCCATGCCCCGTCTCGCCGTGGTACTGAAAGGCAGCCGCATGGCACATCTCGTGGAGCAGCTCCTTCACCACCATTCCGGGGTGCTTGATATTCTGCCATAGGATAATGCGCGATCTGCGCTGCCCGCCAGATTCGATGCGATGCTCGATGCTGCTGAGTGAATTCATGCAGCTCTTCCACACAATTTCGGGGCGCAGACCACAGTGGAAGATTTGGTGGTTGAGTATATGGAATAGGGTCTTAGCCAGATGCTCCTTGCACGCACCAAAGTCCCGCTTTCGATAGTTCACAGCGAGCGGATGACACATATTCAAAGGCGTGGTCGCTGCAAAGATCGTATCATTATATTTATGTTATATCTATCAGCTTCACTATCGATTGACTCACATCGCAGCGAATCCACAAAGTTATACAGGGCTGCATGGGGCCCGATCATACTGGCAATCTTCTTGTGCTGTTGACAGGTGAGCGCACGCTGCTCCTCGCTGGGTAAGCCGCTCAAGTCGATGGGCTCCTTGATATGGTCGGGCGTTTGGCTCTCAAAATAGTTGGCATTGGCGCGCTGCACCATGTCGTCCATGAGAAGCATCTTCATTTCATTGGTTAAGTTAGAGCCGAGGGCTCTTATACGAGATGGCTCCGGATTGCGTTTATCCGGCACTGTGGGCGTACTTTGGGGCTGCACGTTGGCATTGGATGTCCATAAGCGACTGTGCAACAGCGACGGAGGCTCATCCTCATCCATATGGTTGTCCTCGTACTCAAAGTTAGCCATGGGATTGTAGAGACGGCGCTGCCGGGCAACAAGGCCCAAAAACTTTTGCAGACGTATCTTCAGCTCACTATCGAACTCGACTGTCTCGTCAGTCGTTGGCTCGCTGGTAACAATGGCAACTGGTCGACTCAGATCCAAATAGATGAACGCATCCGATTCAAGCAATGAGCTGGCATCGCTGCTGCAGCAGCTGTTGCGCATGGAAATGCGTCGTTGTTTGCGCGTTGGCTCACTGTGATTATCTTGAACATATTCTTCGTCATCGTCGTCGTCATCCTCGAGCTCGTTATCGCCAAAGTCAGGGTCATCGGAATCATCTGAATCCACATCCTGCGGCTCCGAAGAATAATCAAACTTGTTATCAATCCTTGCGCGGACAGCTCGTCCGCTGCGCGTTGTCGTCACATTGCGTTTCAGCACGGGCGATGCATTCACATCTGCGCCCAGATTAGGTGCATTCAATGGTCCAGCTGTGAAAATAAACCATATTATCATATTTATAAGCTAAGATCACTATTACTTACATTTACTCTCCTTCTTGATGAGGTAGTCGTCGTGCTTGCGCTTAATGGGCGTGCTTACAATATTATCCATAATGCAAGACTCTTCTGCAAGAATTAATTTCGATTTTAAGTTTGAGTTTGATTTTGATTTTGCTTTTGACATTAGGCCATGCTACAACTTACTAGTGCCATTGACATTGCTGTCACTTTCGGTTTCTGGTATGGTTTCTGTCTCCGAATATTCCCACTGATCTACCTTTAATACTGATTCGTTTGATGATGTGCTAGTATCTGATGACCAAAATATGCTCACATCTGACGAGGCACTTGAGGAATCAACAACAATCACGTCCGAGTTCATATCCGTGTCGTCACTGTTGTCCATTTCACCTGCTGTTTGGGGCATTCTGCACGGAAGATCGTCGTGAGTGTCGTTTGGCACTGGTGGCTGTAGTTTGAATAGTTTTGTTTATGAACCATCACACAACACATTGGGCTTGTTTGACCAATACTAACCGTGTTCGAGCCATTTTTGGTGTCGGCAAGCTGTGTTTCGTTATCGAGGCTTAAACTCTGCAGTGCCTCCAATATATTATTGTAATTCGACATCTTGTCAGACATTTTTATTCCATTTTCCGTTGTCTCTTGTCGAATATGCCGGCATCATTTAACAGAAGTTACGGTAGCGCTGCCAGACCGTTGCGTTTCGCTCGTGACTATTGCGTGTACTCATTATAGTGGGTTGTTATCGAAATTTGCGCTTCGCTAATCAATGTTTACCAGCTCTAAAAATTTCTTGGTCAAAACGCCGGAAAATAGACGGTCTATGGTAAAATTCTATTAATAAAGTTATTTAACAATACATCAAGATGGGGCGACGCTCCATAAATACCACTAAAAGTGGCAAATATATGAATCCAACAGACCAAGCCCGTAAGTATCACTTACCTACAACAGTACACACATACATATGCTAATCCTCGTGCCCACATAGGCAAGGAGGCGCGGAAAAAGGAGCTCAAGAAGAATAAGCGACAGCGCCAAATGGTTCGAGCTGCGGTGCTTAAGAACAAGGATCCATCACAGATACTTGAAGAGATGGAGAAGATAGACGAGATGGGTAAGTGGAATTACGATTAATTCATTAGCAACCCACTTACTAAATTCTATATGTTCCATATCCTCATGTAGAGTACAATGTGCTGCAGCCGTCGCCTCTTAATGAAAAGGTTCTGCGCGATAAGCGAAAGAAGCTAAAGGAGACCTTCGATCGTGTTATGCGACTCTATGTAAGTACCTCAATAAATATTCGTATATCATCATATATTAAGAAACTCTCTACATAGCATAACGATGAGCCAGAACACTGGGCGGAACTGAAGCGCAAGGAGGTAGACTACGAGAAGAAACGACTGAAAAAGCAACAATATTACGAAAGCGTTAAGCATGCTCAAAGCGTGCAAGTCGATGAAATTCCACTGCCAGCGCCAGTGACAGCAGCCAATGCCAGTGGAACCGGTGCGAGCACAGCGAGCAATAATAACATCATCTTTCCAGGTGGTTCAGGTGGCATCCGTATGCCACCGCCCCCTATGACGTTAGCCCTACCGCCTTTTGCCCCTGGTGCACCGCCGGGAGTGGCTAAGAACAGCGAAGCTGCGGCTGATTTGCACTCGGATAAATCCAAAGATGACGACGAGAAAGAATGGCTGGGTGTACCGGCAGGGCCGCCGCCAGATTTGTTTGCCATGCCGGAGCTCGACTCGGATGCAGAAGGCAACACCGACTACGAGGGTGATGCAGAAGAAGCGGCCACCAGCCCCAAGCTGCAGCAGCGAATGCAGAACATCGACGACTTCATGAAGGAAATGGAGCATGTGCACAAGAGGAAGCATCGCAAGCTGCAGAGCGACGAGGAACACGAAAGGGAAACAGCAAACAAAGACGACAAGCGGGACAGCGCTTCAGAGAGTAAATCTCCGCCAGCCCGGCGCCGTTTAGCTAGCAGTCACAGCAGCAGCAGCAGCTCGAGCAGTGAAGACGACGATGACGACGAAGAAGCGAATGAGGATGTCGGCTCTGATGCCGATGCCAAGCAGCCCGCAAAAGAGACAGTTAAGCCAGTGGCAGCTGCTGCGACGACAGTGCCAGCACCGCCAACGGCGCCTTCATTGCCTGCCATCCCACTGCCGCCCAGTGCGCCGGCGCTGCCACAGCTGCCGCAATTGCCGCATTTGCGTAACATCGCGCCGCCGCCGGGCATCATGTTCCGACCGCCCCCTATGCGGCCACCTGGGCCGGGTCTGCCCGGCTTTGGTCTGCGCATGCCACCGGGGCCCCCGCCAGGCACACGACCGCCGCACGCTCTGGGCCCGATGCCGCGCATGGGCATACGCATGCCGCCGGGTCCTCCGCCAGGTTTGCCGCCGCGCATGAGTGGCCACCATCCGAAGCATGGCAACGCCAATGCGCCGCCAAGCAAAGAGCCTGGCAAAGGCGTCACCATCATCACGGCAAAGCCCCAAATCAGGTATGTTCTCCCGATAACCTTATGAATCTGGGCCCTCTTCAAGGTCTCATTGTGTGCTTTGCAGGAATCTGAGCGCCGATGTCACACGATTTGTGCCGTCCACGTTGCGCGTAAAGCGCGACGATCAGCGACGGGCCGCGCGGAGCAAGCAGCAATCCGGCGTCCACGAAGTCGGTGATCGCGGTGTCCACGCCCCGCCCGAGACCCACAAGCCGCCCACCAAGGACGACGCCTACCTGCAGTTCATGAACGAGATGCAGGGCCTGCTGTAGCACGGCAGCCGCCTGCTCCCGATGGCCAGCCTAACTGATTGTACATTGAATGCATAGTTTAATTTCGTTAAGCGTACGATAAGAAACCAAATCCAAACGAGAAACGTTTACACCGGGGAAACTCGAGAAGGAATAACACACATGATAATGCTCAAATTGAGGCATATATTTATATTTAAAAAAAAGAAGAAGTAGTTTATAAGATCATTGCTAGCGACAGAGAAATACATGTAATTAGTTCAAGCGAAGACTTTATTGACTTGAAATCGAATATATTTCATTATGTATATTGATTTATGTTAACTGGAAGCCTTTCCACGTCTTGTTTGCTTGTCTTACTCGGAGTATTTCGTCTTTTATTTATGAGTTCAATTCAAACAATATCCAATGCATCTATCAGATTTTCAACAACTTTAACTCTCGACTCTCATTTGTTGTTGAATAATAATAATAATAATACAAACCAAAAACTATTTACATTTTTATAGCGAGTCATATATAAATATACTTCCGGCAAGTGCTCCGAGAACTTTACTGATTGATTGCAGTCATCATCTATGTGGTTTTTGTTGCTGATGCTGTTGCCTTTGCTGTTGTTGCCGTCGACTTCTTCTTGGCGAAGGGGCGCATCTCCATCAGGTCGCACTTCAGTGAGCGAATGCTGCGGCGCAGCGAGTTGGAGACCTTTTTGGTGTAGCTGGTGGTGTTGCTGCACATGGAGAGCTTGTCGTCGTTGCCCACCTGGAGGCTGGCGTGCGGCTCGTGCAGTGGACGCAGTACGTCCTCCTTGGCATCGGCGTCGTTGGACACGTCGCTGCACGTGTTCAGATACTTGCGATTAAAGTGCAACTGCGGCGTGCCCCACTTGCGCTCCAGCTCCAGGCTGGTGCCGCTCTCGGATGTCTCGCCATCCGGCGTAACCGGCGCAACTGCCGTATCGGCCACCTCGCCGATGGCCTCCTTGTAGGTGCGCGTGATGATCATGCAGGGCGGCACGCTCTTGCCGTTGACGCCGGCAATCTTCGGCTGCTGATAGTTCAGCGGCTGGGGCAGACTCTGTCGCATGGGCTTGGAGTGGCGCGGCGACCTCACCGCCATGACAGTCACCCGATAATGGAGCAACTGTTGGATGACAAAGGTGGTCATTAGGCACTCCCATGTGGCAGTTCATTTAATTGAGCTCATTCTCACCTTATCGTCGTCGACAAAGCGCGACAGCTCGTTGAGCCCAATGCTGACGCAGGTGCCCTCCAGCAGGATGTCCTTGTCGTACTCGCTGTGAACGGGAAACTTCTGGGTCAGGGAGAGCGCCTCGTTGTTCGGCTGCAGCAGGGTCACCTCGTAGGCATAGTTGTACTTGGTCTCGCGCCGATTCGAGGTGCAGGTCATGGTGAACAGGATGCGCTCCTTGTCGTAGATCTCGTAGAAGTTGAACATCTCGTCGAAGGCCTGGAACACATAGTAGCCCGTCAGCGGCCGGATCTGCTTGGCCATGTTCCACACCAGATCCGCACTGGCTGCACAGAACAGCTTCGACTTGTGCTGCTCCTCCAGGTGCTGCTTCCACTGCACCTCCCTACCGTGCCACTTGCAGTCGCCCCACACGCGCCCCATGAAGCACTTCATCGGCTTATAGATGCACTGCTGCTCGTGCCACGGCAGCAGCGCCACCGGCATCCTGACCACGCACCCGCCCGCTGCGAAACTGCACCCGAAGTGCGCCTTGGCGCACAGCGCCTCAATTGTCAGCGAGCGCAATGTGGTGAATCCCTCCTGGAAAATGATCAAATTCAAAATATCAGCAAACTCATCTGGATAGCAATCTATGTATATACATACATATCTATGCTAGAGGACTTCCTATATAAGTATGTAGATAGATACATATACATAAGTATAAATACATATACTGAGAGATACAGGCATATATGCACACATACATACTTGGATACATAACATTCATGCATATGTATACATTCAAATATGCATACACACATATAAGTATTAATACAAGTTAATGCATACAATTGCATACATATGCACATACTCACATATGTATGTACATACATGTGCATATACATATGTGTACATTACAAACATTAAATAGAGTGAGAGAGGGATATAGAGAGATATAGAAACAGGGTGAAAAGGAGGCTGAGTGAGAGAGAGTGAGTGGTACACAAAGAGAGAGAGAGGGGACAGAGTAAGAGAGAGAGAGAGAGAGAGAGAGAGATAGAATGAGTAATAGAGTGACTGAGAGAGAGAGAGAGCTACAGAGATTTACATGGAGATGTACATGGGATAAAAGAGAGCAAATGGAGAATATTCAACTCAGATTGAATAGGAGGCAGGGGAACAGTGCCGAGGTGCTCTAAGCACACAGATGGGCATACTTAAACATTGCACTTATTACTCGTACAGCCCACTCAATATAGACGTTATTAAAGGGTTATAGATGTAAATTCTTGATGATATTTGCAGAGCGTTATTACGACCTTGAATTAAAAATACATATGCACTGAAGATCAACTGAGTTCATTATGTTAAAACTAAAATGTATTTGTAGTCTGTTATCAGATATTGTGGGTCCCGATATCATAAATCATGCTCTTCAAGTTTTGTTCAAAGATACCGAATTTAATTGATAACACGAAAATGAAAACAGTTGTACAAAAATAATAATTCATTATCATTTCTTTCTGCATTAAAAAATATTTATATCAAATACAAAGTCTGTAACTAAATATAAATACACCTATATATTTTCTATTCGCTCTCAAAGAAATAAGTTAACTCTCTCGTAGACATTATTGGTACGGTGTAAATATTGTTTTTTTCTCCACCTGAAGCTAAAATGAACCTTGAATATACTTCTAGTCTGACAACATATGGTACTCAGGATGATATATCATTTAGCCTGGCAATTCATTATAAAAAATCGTATTTAGAAACATCTGTGTATGCATTACTCTTGAGTTCTTGAGAAGTTGATATGATGTTCAATGTTTTCTTATCTATATATATAACTCTTGGCTGGCTATAAACGTGAATCGTAAATAATATCATCGAAAGCATTAATAGGCTATCAAGTCTGAAGTTTGCACCCATTGGCAATGGGTATATTCCAAGGCATATAAGTATGCAGGGAATAATAGTTTTGGGAGAAATGAATTTGACAATCAGAAGGCCTGGGAGTACCCATATGATATGATTTTATATTGACTAGTTAAGTTATGTCTGTCAGTTTTATAAAGTATAGTAGGATACCTTCTGCCCTTCTCCTATATTCTCCTACGCTAAGACATACATCTGTATACGCTCTAAAATTCATCTATAAGAAAATACATTTGAATTTCCCATAGTAAACCCCATACTGCAGTCAATGCGCAAGATAGCCAAGATAGATTAGATTGCTTGGAATGACAGTTCTCCAAGTTGGGCACTCCTGACTCGATCACTCTTGCATGCCTCACAGAACTAAAATAAAGTAATCTCTAAGAGCCGTTTAGTGAATTCGAGCTTTTCAGTTGATCTTTCATATTGATCACATATCAATCAATCAATCAAGTATAAATTGCGCTAAATGAGTCACGATCAATTTGGTCCCTATACATATACGAAAATAATCTAAAATTCTGATATCTGTTCCATGTAGGTGATTACAATACGCGCCTTGGACATGAGGTTCCACTGTACCAATGGGCCGCGAAACGTCATACAAGCAGATGAGCGATAAGCAGGCAACGCCACGATGGGCGCTGTGAAGTGCTTTGATATCGCTTACCTAACGCTGACGTCAGCCCCGAATGAAGGGAGCTCTCTCTATGCATACATACATACATATACTTGTCAGTATCTGAAGCATGATATCCATGCACATATATGGTATCCATGTCTGTGTGGCTGGTGGATGGATATACATACCTTGCACAGCGGACACATCAGACGAATGCGGGTGCACTGCTCGCACACGCTGTGCCCGCTCTTGCAGAGCAGCACCGGCGCCTTCATCGGACTCGCGCAGCCGGGACAGCGCAGCTCCTCGATGAGGCTCTCATAGTGCTTGCTTGAGATCGTAGCTGGTAGTGCTGGTTGCTCGACGGATGACTTTGTTGTTGCTGGAGTCGAATCTATTGCTGGCGTTGCTGCTGCTGCTGCAGGTGTTGCTGCTGCTGTTGTAGGAGTTGCTGCTGCTGCTGCTGCAGGAGTTGCTGCTTCTGCTGTTGCAGGAGTTGCTGCTGCTGCGGTTGCAGGTGTTGCTTCTGCTGCTGTTGCAGGAGTTGCTGCTGCTGCGGTTACAGGTGTTGTTGCTGCTAGTGTTGCTGCTGCTGCTGTTGGCGTTGCTTCTGCTGGTATTTCTGTTGTTGCTGCTGGCGTCAGGCCGGCTTCTGTGACACTGTGCCGCAGCACAACCGCCTCGCCATTGCCCAGCGGCGATCGGGCATCCCCCGAGCCTGTGCTGCGCGTGCGACTTAGCATCGGCGGCTTCGGCGGCGGCGACAGCGGCGAGCGCACCATCGTCGATGTGGCCAGCGATGGACTTGGCAGCGTGGCATATTTAACGCTCAGCGCCAGACTATTGGGCGGCGTCACTTGCCGTCGCAGCTCGGGCACCTCCTCAGCTGGCTCGCTGCCGTTCTCCTCCTGTATCTCGTTGATGGTGCTCTTCAGGAAGATGCGGCGCTGCTCGTTGATCTGCTCAATGCTGCGCAGCTGGCCCAAGATTTGCAGCTGGTCGTTGTCAGTGTGGCCCATTGGAGTTTCTCTGCTGTTGCTGTTGCTGTCGCTGTTTCCGTGCCCATTGGCACTGGCAATGGTAGCGTTGACTTGGCCGGTGCTGCTCATGACTCCTGCTCCTTGATTGCTGCTCGCCTGCTGCTGGTAATTGTATAACCACGACTAGTACTTGGCACTTGGCGCACCTCTCGATGTTTCACTCCAGTTATGTATCGCTTTTTCTGGAATGCCTCTGTAAGTGTGTCTCTATCTTGTTCTCTCCCTCTCTCTCACTCTCACTCTCTCTCAGTGTACGTGTGCTGGGCTCGAGGCGTCTTCTATCTTATCAGAAACGCCTAACTAGGCAGCCAATCGATTTGGATTTTTTTGATACATGTACTCACATACTCACAGACGTCCGTATGTATGTATGTCTGCATGTATGTATGCTCGAAGTTTGGTACATACACATACATACATATATTTAAGTATTTATCATGCCCATTTACGCATGTATAAGGTGAGCGCCTATTTGGTTAGTACGAAGTAGTCGAACTACTACTATCTCTGCCAGCCGTCTCACAGCCTTCTTCGCTTCGTCTTTCGGCCAGAACTACGCTGCACAGATAACGTCGCGTGGTGGCACTGTATTCCAATTATTCCCATTGCCAATTTTTGCACGTTCGCTTTATTTTCTTTTCTTTTCTTTGAGTGTTTTWATTTTTGTTTGTTAACAGCTTTTCCCTTCCATCGAGTTTCACTGCATTTGTTTTGCCTCAAATCGCTGCCCATGTCAGAGTGCGGTCAGGGCTTACTTTCGTTTTCGTTTTTGTTTTCCTTCTCCATTTTCCGATTTTAAAAACTTGGGCATGTCTGCAGGTGTGCATATGTGTTGTATATATGTTTGTACATGTATGCATGTTTGTGTGCATGGCTTTAGTGGACTTAGAGACTTTCCTAATGTCAAGGCAAGCGGGCGTGAAATATCAWATATCATATATCATTGTTAAGCAAATGGTTGGGCGGAAATCGTAAAGCTTAAAATATAAGCAGCTGCATTTGAAAGCGAAGATCAACTATTTTTATAGTTGAATGCTTCAAACAATTATTAAGGATGGGCCTATCTTGCCATTGATTAGTGGGAAAGTCTTACAACTGCCAGATTTACATACTATGTATTAAGGTGTGCAGATCTATGCCAAGATATATCATATATCAGATGAAGTTACATAGAGTTTTTTTGTTAGCTCAGTCATAATTCTTACAGCAGGACGATGCAGGATGATGCTATAAGAAACTACTTCCAATTACCATATTGGAAACTAGAAATAATATCTAATTAGCATAACATCCCGTTACACGGGCATCATTGGGAATCCTACAACGCCAATCCGAAGCAAGCTTCCTGAAAACAAAAACAAAATTAAACAGTGCAAAGGAAAGATTCTCATGCCCTTTTTAGCACATGTACATATGTATGTACATACGTTCGTACATACATACATATATATGTATGTATAAATTCCAGCATACCAATCGAGCCTTACATACCGCTCTTAGTCATCCACAATACGGTAAATGCATCAAACGTGCTTTACGCGCATTAAGCAGTTCAATCATTAAGCAGCTACGTTGCACATTTAAACTGAGAGAATTGTCTGTCTGCGTAGCTCATGCGTAAAGACCACTTAATTGAGACCTTTCCAAAATATGCTTCTACTTAAATAGCACAATTTAATACATGTATGCAAACAATTTACAATAAATTTCAAAAGCGATTCTTTTGAAATGGCAAAATGTGATCGAGTACGGTCACACTGTTATCTAACTTCAAATGGCTGTCCAAAGTGAATTTATTTCAGCCTCTGGCAACGCTGGCAACGGCGCGCGCTATCTTTATGAACGCAATGACAATAAAATAAAAATTTAAATGTAGTATATGTATATGTAGACACGCTGGGAGCTGCGATCATGCGCTGCGTGTTTGTAGGCGGAAACAAATGAAAATATTTGTAAATGAGGTACAGGGATCTTATCTTTTATAATAGATAAATCATAAGATAAGTAGATTCATGTGTATTCAAATATAAATATGTACATATATTTTTATGGAATACATATTAGCAGCCAGAGCAAAATCAAGTCAGTTCAAGCAACAGTTGAAATTTCAATGTGACGTTGAAGGTTAAACGACTGCCTTGGCATTCAGTATAACTGTTAATTGGCGTGCGCGCGCAACAGCATCCACCACCACTTTCGACCGATTTCAAGCGACAAACAGTTATAACGGGCAGAGCCGCCCGGTCAGTTGCGTCCACAGTTTCGTTACCAAAAGTTCTAATCGTAATGGCACCCCGGCACATACTCGACCTTAGCGTCGAGGAGCAGCGCAGCTTCATTGACTCCTTCGATATGGTAATCAGCGACTGTGATGGCGTCGTCTGGCTGCTTCACGGCTGGATACCGGGCGCCGGCGAGGCAATAAATGCCCTCAAGAGTGCCGGCAAATCGGTTACGTTCGTGTCGAACAATAGTTTCCGCACCGACGGTCAGTACATGGACAAATTCGACTACATTGGAGCAAAGAATGTGCAACACGATGACATAGTGCATCCGGTTAAGAGTATTGTGCGCTATCTGCACAAGCACAAGCCTGGCAAACGCGTCTACTCGCTCATGTCACTGGAGGCCAACGAGACGTTGCGTAAGCACGGAATCGAGTATGAGTCGCTGGTGAGTTCTTGGAGTTGTTCCCAAAATAAAGTGGAGCTCTAGAATGAAATCATATGCAAACTGCAGCAAATCAAGGAGCACTTGACGTCAGCCACACTGGTCGAGCATCTGGCCATTGAGAAACCTGTGGAAGCCGTCCTATTCGACATACATCTGGATATGTCCTATGTGGAGCTCGCCAAGGCGATTCGCCACCTGCAGCTGAACAAGAACTGCGAGCTGATTGCCGGCGGCAGCGATGTTATAATGCCACTGGCCGAGAATCTCAAGGTTCCGGGCTTCTATGACTTCTTGCAGCACGTCAGACACTACACGGATCGCGATGCAATCTTCCTGGGCAAGCCGTCGCCCCTACTGGGCGATATGCTGAAGGAGATGTACAACATCCAAGCGCCAGAGCGATGCATTTTCATTGGCGATATGCTCGTGCAGGATGTGCAGTTCGGCAAGTCCTGTGGCTTCCAGTCCCTGCTCGTGCTCTCAGGCATCCTGACCAAGGCGGACATGGACGCGGCGCCGCCAGAAGCACAGCCCGACTACTATGCCGACAGCCTGGCCGATTTCATAGAGTTGTTCAAGAACTTGCAGTAGACGCGAATGGCGTACAGTTATTATTACTTTATTTATCGTTGCTGTAGTCTTGTTATTGTTGTTGGCCAGGTCCATTGCGTTACAAATATATACATATAATGTACAATCGGCTGAAGAGTCCGGTCAGAGTTTCACAGCTCCAGGTCGTCTGGGTGGTAGAGCTCGGAGAGCAATCGGTAGACATAGGAGGGAGCATGACCGCCACTAGAGTAAAAATACAATAAGTATTGGAAGCTGATTGAAGCGTAGCTCGGGTAATTGGCCACTCACGCATTCGATATGAAGAGCGTGACCAGCTCGGGTGCCACATAATCGAACATGGGACTGTAAACCTTGGCGTCGCGAGCCGGCATCGAGTCATACGCAATGACGTCCTCGGCACAGCCGACCATATTGAACGCATCCTGCTCGCACAGGTGCAATGGCGACAGCTTGTACATGGGCGCCAGCACAATCACCGGCACCGAGTAGTGTTTGGCCGCCAGGGCAACTGTGTTGGCTCCGCAAGCAGCCCGCAGGCCGCCATTGGCCAGGACGCTGTGCGTGCCAATGATGACCTTGTTGATGCGCGACATCATGGCAAATATGGATGCGTCCGGTATTACAATAATCTCCACATTCTTCTCCTGCGCTAAGGTCGCAGCTAAATTGTGGCCCTGCGGATAGACAGAGACGGCACGCATTAAAAAAGGACTCGCCAAGGACACCGAAAGTTATTTATAGACTTCTATACATGTGTGTGTAATCAACCGAATAGTCAAAGCTAAATTGCGGTTGGAAAAGTAACAGATGTTAGCCGATAATGACCTCTGGCGTTGCAAACAGTAACATCCCGGAGCTAATCAGCTTGTAAGAGTGACTCACCCGACAAGCTGGCGCACATTCGGCTACAATTATTGTCAGAAACTGTCGCTTCTTGATGGCCCGCTTCAGAAAGTTTTCGACGCTGCGCGAATGTCCAAGCGTAAGTATTATCTCTGAGGAGTGTATGTGCTCCTCGGCTTGCACACTGATGTTTTCCGAGCTAGTCTCCAGTTCAGTCTCGACCTCTTGCAAGTGATCCAGCAGCGCCTCGCGCAATCCCTGCTGCGGCACCGAATAATCCACACTGACACAGCTTTCGCTGGTCTGCGTGACCAGCTTGTGCAGCGATAGGGAAGCTTGCGAGTCGTCGGCGAAATGCTGCACCTTGGCCTGAAGCAGCTCGAACTCCTCGCGCGTCAGTTTCAGTATGCGCCGTGCTATATTCGAGGTGACGGTCTCCTGGGGCAGAGCCGCTTGCAGGATTCGTGACTGGGCGCGAACAATTTGCATGAGCGCGCTGTGAACGTGGGCATAGAGTTTAATTAATGTAGATAACAATAATGTGCTCAAAGGCAACTCACTCGGCGCTATCCCAGCTCTTGCTCATAATAATGTACTTAAAGATGTCTAGCGTTTTGTTGGTAATGCTGTAGGAACCTTCCACCAAACTGTAAATACGATTTCAGCTCTTTAGCTCTGCGTAATGGCATGCATTGCATTCTGTACGTGTCTTACCCCATTTTAATGGCATGTATCAGTTGTGTAACCTCTTTTAACGGCTGTTCGCGCATTTTGGGAATCTGTTCTATGTTGTAATTGCAAAAATAAGAGAAAATAACAAATTGCACGGACAACKTTCGTTCAACAACAACAACAATAATTGTACAAGATGCAATCGATGCCTGAACTTGTAAATCAGCTCGTGTTGAACTTGTACTCAATACTCGATACTCGGTCAACTGTTGGAGCTATTGTTATCGATATCGAAAGCATTCTGTTGCACAGCAGCAAAAAAAAAAAAAAAAAGCAAAAACAACAAAACACGATAAAACTGGACGCAATATGAGCTGAAAGCTTGTTTACGTGTCCGTGTCTTCTTCATAGCCGAACAATCGTTGAAGACACAACGCGCACGGCAGGCGGGCAGCGCGTACTGTCAACGCAGCAATTGTTGATCACCGAAACAGGTGTTTCCCTTTATTTATTTATTCTTTTTCATTTTTGTTTTGTTTTCGGTTTTGTTTTTGGCTCAAACTATTTTGGCCTAAACTCACGCTTTGCCGGCTCTGATACCAAAACAGACGCTAAGCGCAAAATGAACATTCACGGTGAGTGGCTATTGTTTTTTCTTGTCGCTGTTGTAAATATTAGTATTGGTCAACCATTAAAGCTAAAATGTTGCTTTCCTCTATTGCAGTTAACGCCAACACACTCAAGTATGTGAGCCTGCTCACATTGACCCTACAAAATGCGATCTTGGGCCTCAGCATGCGCTATGCGCGCACTCGGCCGGGCGACATATTTCTTAGTTCCACAGGTGAGAGAGTCCATCAGAAGAGGCGACGTAAGCAGATGCGCTGTTGGCAAATATCCACATACACACACACACACACATACATACATACATACACGCACGCGCGCATATACATAAGTTACGTTGTTTTAATGGGATCGCAAAAGGTTCGCTTTTCAATTAGAGGCAACTACAATGACGAAAGAGTGGTGCCCCCAGCTGATAAGCAGTTAATGTTATGTTTTATTTCCTGTACGCGAGTGTACTTAGTGTAGCATGTGCGTGTGTGTATGTGTGTTAGTGCGTATGTGTGTGCATTGTTTCGCATCGCTTCAACTGATTTGAGTGGCTGCTGTTCTGTTCTGTTCTGTTCTACGATATGACCATGTAACTTCTCTGCTTGCAGCTGTGCTCATGGCGGAGTTTGTCAAGCTGATCACCTGCCTGGTGCTGGTCTTCAACGAGGAGGGCAAGGATGCTCAGAGATTTGTGCGCTCGCTGCACAGGACGATCATTGCCAATCCGGTGGACACGCTCAAGGTGTGCGTGCCCTCGCTGGTGTACATCGTGCAGAACAATCTGCTGTACGTGTCCGCCTCGCACTTGGATGCGGCCACCTACCAGGTGACATACCAGCTGAAGATCCTCACCACCGCCATGTTCGCCGTGGTCATACTGCGCCGCAAGCTATTCAACACGCAGTGGGGCGCTCTGGTGCTGCTCGTCCTGGGCATTGTGCTGGTGCAGCTGGCCCAAACGGATGGCGGCAGCGGCGTCGGCGGTGCCACTGGCAACGCCATTTCAACGGCTGCCAGCGCGACTCTGACATCCGCCGAGGCACCTGCACAGAACCGAATGCTGGGCCTGTGGGCGGCACTGGGCGCCTGTTTCCTGTCGGGCTTCGCGGGCATCTACTTTGAGAAGATACTGAAGGGCGCCGAGATCTCCGTGTGGATGCGCAACGTTCAGCTCAGCCTGCTGAGCATTCCGTTTGGGCTGCTGACGTGCTTCGTCAACGACGCCAGTCGCATCTACAACTTTGGCTTCTTCCACGGCTACGATGTCTTCGTATGGTACCTGGTGCTGCTGCAGGCAGGCGGCGGCCTGATCGTAGCCGTCGTGGTTAAGTATGCGGACAATATACTTAAGGGATTCGCCACCTCGCTGGCGATCATCATCTCCTGCATCGCCTCCATCTACATATTCAACTTCAATCTGACGCTGCAGTTCAGTGCCGGCGCCATGCTGGTGATTGCCTCGATATTCCTCTACGGCTACGATCCATCCCGGGCCAATGCCAAGCCCATCCCCCACTCTGATCCCGGCGCTGGTGACGAGGAGAAGCTACTGCCACGAGTCTGAGCCAATGCACAATGCAAGCTCTCGACCCTGCCTAAAAAAAAAACCCCCATCTCTAATCCTAACCCAGGGCAACGTCATCTTTCTTTTCCTTTGCCACCAGTATTTGTTGTATTTTATTTCCTTCTACTCCTGGGCTGCGAGGTCCACGTGATTATTGTATTTGTACTTCAATTTGATATTCGAACTGCTTTTGATATTTTAAGCGGAAGCCTTACGCATTCCCGAATAGCCTCATATACATACCAGGTGTATATGTATATATGTACATTTATATTAAGTCCCATTGGTCTGGTATAAGACGCTCGGGCTAACATTACGTATTTATATATATAGTTCTTTAGCCGGCAATTAAGTTTTATATGTTAAACAAATTCGAAAAGCAACAATAAAATATATATACATGCATATTGTATAATTTCAAGAACGTTTTTATTTATATTTGTGCGAAAAAAAAAATGGAATGCATTCAGGATTCGGTTAAGTGGTTCTTTTTTATTATAAAAAAAAAAAAAAAAAAACAACTTATTTTTCAATGTAAAAATAATTTTAAAAAAACTTCATGAATAGATCTCTTATTATATATAGAATATATACATCGATTGGTGTATAGCATTAAAAGGTAAAGCCAATGAAAATTCAAGTTTTGGCCAAAAGTTTCTTTATTTTTATAAAAAATAAAGAAACAACTTATGATATATGTTAAAATAAATGACTTCATGAAAATATCTCTTATTATATATAGTATATATACATCCGTTGGTGCATAGGATGAAAAGGGTTTGGCAAAGTTTCTTTATTTTTAGAAAAAATTCAAGAAAATATCTTAGTGATAAATGTAAAAATAGCTAACGTAAATTTTTAAAATATGACTTCATGAAGAGATCTATATATAGATCTCTATATGGTATATATATACATCGATTGGTGTATACAATGAGAAGCTTTTCTTCAGTAAAGCTTGAGTAGGTTGTATATATATATACATATAGGGTTTTGTTATTTGAGTAAAATATACATATGAATGAGTAACATGAAATGAGGAAATTAAATGGGTCTTCGTCGATCTTCCAGTGATCCTAAACTAACGAACTTACACAGAGTTTTCATCCACGGAGCGTGCACATAACAAAGTAAAAAATATGAAGTATTTAGTAAAAAGTAGCCAATAAAGCTGGGGAAGAACAAAGAGCCGATGGCTAATCACACCAGCCAATGCTAACGTCGTCCGTCGATGTCTGTAGGCTAAGGACCAGCTCGTATATGCGCAGTGCTGGGCCCAGCTTCAAGCCGAAGCGATCGATGACGTCCTGGCGCGACAGCACCATCAAGGCGGCGCCATCGATTTCCTGGGTCCTAAAGACATCAGCTTCTCGCGGATAGAACTTCTCGACATAGTCCACCACATCGTCAATGCTCCAGGTCTGCACAGTCTCCGTTGAGAGAATCTGCTCGTCTACGGGTGGAGACAAAGATGCAGATACTACTACAATGTCCTCTACGTCCTCAATAATTTCCACGCTATCGTCGGTTTCTTTGTCTTCCTGCGACACCACAAATGTCAGAGTGGGGAGCGAAGTGTCTGACGAGTAATTTGTCAGCGGTGCCAAGTCAATGATGCCGTTAACTACATCGATCTCATCCTTTGAGATGACTTGGACGACATCGTCGTTGTCGGGAGTCTGGGATACAATGGTCGACGGCTTGTTGGTGTTGTTGTCGTTGTTGTTCTTAATGTTGTTGCTGTTGTTGTTATTATTGTTGCTGATGATGATGGGCTTTGAATTCTCAGTGTTCTCATTCTTATTGTGGCTTTGCTGCAAAGCCGCCTTCTTGGCAACGACAGCTGCAGCAGCTGGATCAGAAGTGGCCCGCTTCTTGCGCCCAGCCTTCGACTTGCGCGGCGGAGATTTCGGTTGGATTTTGGTAACCTCATCTGCCTCACCGTTATACGGATTGTAGTTGGGGCAGCAAGTGTCGCACTTCCACTTCGGGTCGTTCAACTTGTCGCGCATGATCGCCGGCCAGTGGCAACCCAAGTGATAGGCATTGGCGCAGATACTGCACATAATCATCTCCTTGACCTTGTCCTTGGCCTTGTTGCTCATGCAAGTGAAACAGCGGCGGCACTTCTCGCACTTGAACTTCTTACGTGCATTCGTAAGAACTTCAAATGTGATCGGCAAGCAAGCGAAGTGCCCTGTGAAGCGACAGCAAACAGCAACAGGAGCAGTGAGTAACTGTTGATAGAATTTAGTTAAAAATCGACTTACATTTCAAGGCGCATGACTTGCAGGTGAGAAAGTTGCTTTTGTAGCCGGAGCCACGCTTTGCCTCGCTCTTGCCGCACTTCATGCATGTATCAAAATTGCGCTGCTGTTCCACGGTGGGCACTGGCACCGTCTCCTTGGCATCCTCCTTGGCAGCTGAAGTGGATGGCCGCTCGGCAGCAAGCGCTGCCTGCTGATTAGCTGGCTTTGATTGAGATGCCGAGGACTGCGCCTGCGGTTGAGCCTCCGACTGGGACTGGGACTGCGAGGAGGCCGGCGATTGCGACACCGTGGACTGCTGTTGCAATGCATTTGCATTGGCTGGTGTTGCCTGCGATTGCGATGACGATGCCGCCGCAGGCAACGAGTTGCGCGATCCGCGTGATACATAATTATCAGAGGGATCATATACCTGCTTTGGTTTCTGTAAAATATGCGTGAAATTTACAAATGAACTGCACGCCTTGCCACCATTTACAATACCTTCACGCGGCCCGTGGTGCGGACTGTGCAGGGCGTGTTGTTGTTGCCGCTGCTATTGGCATCGGTGCTGTTGCTGCCGATGTTTGGCGATTCCTTGTTAGTTTTAGAATTATTATTGTTATTGTTGCTGCTGTTAATAAGTGCAGCATCATCTTTGTCCTCGTCCTTTCCACGCTTCATATTGAGCTTATTTAATATTTTAAAACCCAACCAAAATGAATTTTTACCTCCGCTGCAATGCGCGCTCGTCGCTTGTTTAACGTACAATCCGATAAATTATCGATACCGCACAATGAGTATGCATCGGTTTGATTTTTACTTGTGGCTGTTGTTGCCACAGAATACGAATTTCAAAATGTGCGAGGCACGCAACTAAATATTTTCGCATTTATTTAACGTTTCTAACACTATGTATCTACATGCATGCATATACATACATGTGTATATGTAAAATGAGAAGCCGTTAGATTTTTTTCTTTTACATTTTTGGCATAGTTTCATTTATTTCATTGTCTTTTTATGCGTGGTTAACAGTTTTTAGCGAAAAATGAACATAATTAGGCAATTAAACCATTTTAAACATACAATAACTAAACTAGAATTTATTTTASTTTCAACTGTATATAAATATATATATGTATATTGTATAAATAGTTAAGTATTTACGTAGTATATCCAAGATGATGTGCGATGCATAGAAGCGTAAGTTGTGCCTCAGGTTAGGAAGTAGAGTTCAAGTAACTGCAGCAACATAGGGAAACAAACTACTTTGGCCCTCCGCATCATTCAATCTTGATGCGGCGTCCATACTTCCAGCCCAGAAGCATCAGATCCCGATGCGCCAGCGCCCAGGCGACCAAGCAGAGGACTCCAGCGGCCAGGCCAATGCCCATATGTGTGCCGAAGACAGCATTGCGATACTAAGAGGAGATTTATTATATTATTATATGGAGTCTATGCATGTATTAGCAGTGGAGCTCACCCAGTAGCAAGCTAGGCCAGCTAGCACGAGCGTGCCACCAAAAAGTTTGCCCGGCCAGAGGCCCTGGAGCGGATTCAGGCCGAGTGGCTGATACTGATGCCATATGTACCGTGTGCTATACAAGATGCGGCCCAGCATATTGATGCAGTTGGCAAAGATGAAGCCGACCGGGCCGAATATGCCCGTCAGGATGTACGAGAGCACCAGGAAGCTGATCGAAAATATGGCCATTAGGTAGTTGTACTTGTCAATGTCCCGGCTAGTGTTAGTCGCGAACATGTAGCCCTCGCTGATGCCATTCACGGACAACAGATAGATGGCCAGGCAGTGCCACTGGAGCAGGCGCTGGGGCAGACCGCCGGCAACGAAGTCCTCGCCGCCATACAGCAGCAGGAGCGTGTGCGAGTAGCTCTGGCCGAAGGTGAAGGCCAGCAGCCCGATTGAGCTGACGCCCAGCAGCAGGTTGTTGAGCACGCTGCTCGCTTGGCGCACCCGCTCCTGCGGCTGCTTGCTGAGCCGTGTGTCTCGGGCGATAGTTTGCGTGAAGTAGAAGTAGGCGCTGTCCTCGATGGGCCGGAATATGAAGCGGGCCGCCATGCTGCCCAGGTTGTTCACCACGTCGTAGGTGGCCTGCTCCCCAAAGCTGAGCACCGGCGACACAGACATTACGTACTTCTCGCCCTCGGTGAGGATCTGCTTGAGCACGCCCTGCTTCACAAAGCTGAGCGTCAGCGTCTGCAGCTCCCTGTTGAGCCATGGCTCGCCGCCAGAGCAGCTCAGCACGCCTGGGAGCAGCTGGGACAGCTTGGTGAATGGGAAATCGTCCATGTGATCAAAGAGCGAACGCTCCCAGGAGTTTGGAGCCTGGACAGTTTTGGTCTTGCGCGTTTGCTGGCGCAGTTTGAAGTCGTTGAATCGGTTAATGTAGAACAGGAAGAATCCATATTGACCTAGGACTATGGTGAGGGCGCTGGACAGCTGGGCGATGGCAAAGGCATTGATGGCCGCGCTTCGATCGCCCGTGACAATCCACAAGAAGATGGCCGAGCGCACCAGAATGTGCAGAGTATTGAGCACAATTTTCAGCTTGACAAAGCAAAAGACTTGAGCCACAAATACCGTCGATTCGGCGACCAGCTCCAGGACGCAGGACAGCGCCACCGCATAACAAGCGAACTCATACTGCGCGCTATAGGGTACATCCACTGCCGAGAGCCAGTGCAGCCAAATGTAGAGACAGGGGACGCATAGAGCTGCGCAAATAGGTACGCTAGACGGGACGGAGCATACATAGCGAGCGAGCGAGCAAGGGAGAGAGAGAGAGAGTATTGGACATGTGGCAGGATGAATGGGATTTGTGACTGATCTCGCACGCACTTACGTAAGCCACATCTGATTGATCAACTGTGCCCAAGAGCACTTCTCGCGCTGCTGCGAGTTGGCGCTCAGCGCGGCCCGGTTGATGGCCTCGCGAGACAAGAAGAGCAGCGTGCTCTCGAGCAGCAGTAGGCGCACGTTCATAATGCCCAACACCTCGCGACCTACATTGCGCACAATATAGGCGTTGATGCCGAACGTAAGGATGCGGCACAGTATCTGTAAGATAACGACCAATTACGAATTTCGCCGAAATCTGACTCACACGTATTACATTTACGTGGCGGTTTGTCTCACCTGAAAGATGATACTGAAGCCAGCGCCCAGTAGGCTGCTCTGTAGCACATTTCGCGCCATTAGAAGGTCTTAGTTAATGAAAATAAACTGCTATATCATAGCGCAAAGCTAGATCAAATCAAATTAAGTGCCAACAAAAAATAACAACAATAAATCCATCCAGGTGCCCAAAAATCGATACCATAACATCCAAAAATAAAAATAGTCGATAACAAAACAGTTGTCGAAGAAAAACAGCTGTTCGAAATGAGCACACATCGTCATTTAGTGCAGCAGGTGGCAACGTCGGCACGTTAAATTCAAATTGAAATATGAGCAGTTGGCAATGGTTAAAATCAGGAAATGCAAATAAATATTAAAATATCTTATAATGGAAATTAAAAATGCCTTATTCTACTACCCTGACATACTATAAAAATCTTTTTCAACTGCCGATATAAATAAAAAACTATAATATAAGGTTCATAAAATAACACTGATAACACGTCAAATTGTGAACGATAAGAAAGTTCACGAACCAAGTGGAACTGAATCAATAATGAAATTTGTAACTTTTATACTAAGCAATTTAAAAACTTCAAAAAATAAATAAACTTTGTCACACTGTTGCTTTTGCCTCTTGGCCAGCGTCCTTGCACCCGCATAACAGGTGCGACCCGTTTCAATAATTCATTTTCACCATAAATCGCCGGCTTAAGCGCATGTCCTTTGCGCTAATCGGTCGGCCGCTTGATTGACCGCCCGCACACCCATATATTCCCCCTGCCAGCCGGGCCGACAGTCTGAATGGGCCACAGCCGTCAAACTGGTTGCAACAACTTTCGTTGCGGTTGCGTCGTCGAAGAAGTTGCTCAGCTGCGAGTGGCTGCGGGCTGTCGCATTTCGAAGACAGTCAGCTTTTAAACGCGGCCAGAGTCGGTTGCTTGTCGCGCTAAATCGTCAGCAGTTATCCAATCTTTGTTGCGCTCTCTTTCCCACTTGCTCGATTCGTACCACCACGTTAAACCGTTGTTTTTCTTTACTTTTGGGAAAGGCGCGCGTGCGCTCTCGTTTGCTAAAAAGCAGAAAAAAAGCAAATAATAAGAAGAAGCAGAAGCACAAGCAGAAGGCGGCGGCGGCGGTGGCGATCGAGTGTTCTGCAAGACGAAGCGTGAAGTGCAGCCACACGTTGTTGTGTTTTTGTTTTGTTTTTGTTATTGTTGTTTTGTTTGGCATTCATATAAATACATATGTACATGCATACGTACGTACGGGCAGAAGCATGCGAATAATTTGATCCGGATCTGATCTGATCTGATCCTGAGAGGCAACACAATCTATTGCGCAAGTGGCTAAACGTATCGCTTGCAATTGCGCTCAGGTGACACCTTTACACCGTGTGCAACAATTACACCTGCCGCGGCACTCGGGAACGCGGTCATGTTCATCATTCCAATTGGAGTCGAGCATAAGAGACGCCAACTACCATAACACACGATTTCCAAAGCTGTTCCAGGATGTCGGACATTTACTATTGCAGCAACAGCCAGGTAATTCAATTCTGATATCTAACAACTTAACATTATATTTTTTAAGTCGCTTAATCACTAAACGCAACATTAATTGCCCGTCAGCTCGACCATTTAAGTTTCTGTTAAACGCTCTTCCATTCGCTTTTGTCATTTTACCTAATTGGAAATTTGCTTGACGATGTTAATTAATGAGAGACAAAAGTAAAAGTGAAATTAAAGCGCCATTCAAATATGAACTAACCATTTGTCATATTTGTAGTTCGTAATCCGATTATGCAATCGGAGTGCCTTATAATATTACAGGCCTATCGATAACAAGCTAATTTGCTCAAAAGTAACGGCACAGCACAAGTTAAAATTGTTATGTTATGCTCCAAATGCATGCGATCCGTATGCTTACCTACATACGAATGCATGTAGGTGTAAATGCATGCGTATGCGTGTGCATACATGTGATTCGTTTGCCATATGGTACCAAAACTGGGACTTTTTTTTTGCCATACAAGGGTACACTGCACATTTCTGTTACGGAATGGGACATTTGATGGCATTTTAATCAAATGTGTCAATGGTATTATAAATATATATATTACTTGTATATATAATTCCTTAAATGTATTTGTTGTTTTTTGTTTTTAATGGCACTTGATTCACGGTACTTCAATTTATCGCATTCTTTTCTTGGTACATTTTCTGGTAATTAATTTTGTTTTATTCTTTTCTTGGCACTTTTAACTTGGTATTTTTGGCACACGTTTTTTCCATCTATGGATATTTTAGTTTTTCATTCTCTTTCTTTGTATTCCTTAGTACTGTTAACAAGTTATGTTCTCATAATATTTTTACTATCAGCTTTAGAATTTTTTCTTGATTTTCTTCATTTGGGCTTCCTAAAAACCTAAAGGTACATTTTCTTGATATTTTTAATTCACGTCTACCTGTATTTGGTGCATCCTTTTGATATTATTGGTACATACATTTTCCATTAATGCCAGTGAATTTTTGTTACTATCTTTACTTCATACTGCTTTTCATTACTTTTTACTTGTTTTGGGCATTGTTTTTCAATTCTTTTCCTGATATTTTTGACAAAAGCTTTTCACTAGCTTTTTTATTTGGTATACCTTTTTACTTCATTCATTTCTCGGTACTTTAAAAAATATTTTACATAGTCTTTCCATTCATATCATGAAGGTTTTCCGTTATTGTTTTCTTACGTTGTCGTTTGTATGTCCTTTTTTCACGGTATTTCTTCTACATTATTTTTGGTACATAAGTCGTTCTGGTTAATCTAAATCTTACAATTATTTTCTTAAAATATTATTTTTGAATACGATATTTTTTCAACTTGCTACATTTTCTCGATGTTTTTTGTTATACCCGCATTTTTAATTTTTCAACTTTTACATTCATCTATTTTTGGCGTTCCCTTGCAATCCATCCTTTTCTCGATATGTGAAATATAATTCTACCCTATATTTTTTAATACGCATTTTTCTATAATTTCCTTTGGTAAATTTCATAATATTTGTGGTATGCCTTTATTTTTAAGCTTTCGACATAATTTCTCAAAATTTTTCGTTCATTATTTTTCCATCCTCTTTTGAGGATGTACTTGATAGGCCCTATTTAATTCATTGATTTCTGCTATTTTTCTTGATTTTGGTACATAATATTAACATTCTCTTTGCCATTCTGTCCTTCATATATTTTGGGTACGCCCTCTTTCAATCCCTCGGCATATATTTTCGCTATATATGCAATTGTTCCATTCTTTTTTGGTATTTTGGTACACCCTTTTTCTAGGTACGTTTTCTGTGGTATTTTTGGTACATACCGATATTTATCAAGCTGCTGCTGGCTACTGTTTATAAAAATTATGCAAATTATAAAGTTTGATCGCTGTTGGCACGCCCCGCAGTAAGCCGATGGACAACAGCCAGCAGCAGCAACAGCTACAGCAACAGCAGCAACAGCAACAGCAGCAACAACAGAAATAGCAGAAATAGCAGCAACAGCAGCAGCATCCATAAGTCAGTGAAAGTTCGTCCCGTTATAAACCAATTTGCCTTAGTAACTTACTTTTGCTGGTAACACTGCTGCTGCTGCTGCTACTATTGTTGTTGTTGTTTCTGCTCTGGGCGCATGGCCGTTTGCCGCCTCTATTTATTGTTGTTGTTGCTGTTGCTTCTGCTGTTGCTGATGAATATCAAAAGAAATCAAAAGTTTTGCTGCGTGTGTTGTTGACGTCGTTTTGTTGTTGTTGCAGATGTTGTGGCTGTTGTTGTTGCTGTTGTTATTATAATTTGCAACTATTTTAATGCAAAATTGCTGCTGTTGCTGCTGCTGCTGTTGTTTTGACAACCAACTTAATGCCCATGTCTAAAATTTGTTGTTTGTGAAATGAAGTTGGGAGAGACTTTGGCTATTGCTTTGTTTTTTTTTTCTTTTTTTTTTTTCTTTGGTTTTTGTTTGGCTTTGCCGCGGTCGGTGAGAATTTTTCCATAGCAAAATATGTCGCCGTTAACATTAACAACAATGACAGACAGCGGCAACTGAACCAAGGTTTTCACTGACCAAAAATTTCTGTTGTTGTTGCCTTCGTTTTTGTTTTCCTTCTGTTATTGTTGCAGGGCGTGCGCTGTTGCTATTGTTGTTGTTGCTATTGTTGCCTATTGAGCAATTTGCAGCCTGTGATCGGTCGCTGTAATTTAAGTCGCGATATAGATATTTGTATCTCTATGTTACATGCACACATATTTACATACACACATACTTACATACACTTATGCATATACATACATGCATGGGCAAAGCATTCCATTCAGTCTAGTCTAGACTCTAAAGACTCGCACGGCCAAAAGTGATTGCGGCGACAGCAGCAACAACAACAACAAACTCGTTTGGCTTARAAAAAAAAAAAAAAAAAACGCAACAACTTTCAGTTGTCTGTTTAAAGCCAGTCTTATCTTGGTTTTGCCATTATATATGTATGTTGTTGGTTTTTGGTTTTGCCGCTATGTTTTTTTTTTCTTTTGCACAATCACCAAAAGCCCAGCCAGCGGCTAAGCTGACGCCATCGTCATCGCCTTAGCATAACACCCACTCTCACACCTCACACCCCACAGCTCTTATAATATCCTAAAATAACATTTGGCTACTGATTACGCTGTTTATTCAAAGCTCTTATACAAAAGCCTAAGAAATCCCAGATATTTCCCTTTTCAAATGCTCTCGTATATGTGCGCTCTTTACTCAAGGATTTGCCAACTCAAATGTGAGAGTGCGAAAGAGAGAGAGAGACACTGAGAAAGAAGAGTGAGAGTAGATTTTGCAGTTGTGTGTGTGTGTGTGTGTATTAGTGCCGCAACGTCTAGTCAGAAATTATTATTTATTTAGCTAGCCTGCAGATCAACGCGTTTTCTACTCACAATTGGCTGCCATGTGCTGCAACAGGTTCAGCAGCAACAACAAAATAAAATGTTGTTGCCATTTGCCAAATGCCACACGACAGCAGCAGCAGCGATGGCAGCGACAGCAGCAACATTAGAAAAAAAGAAAAAAAAAACTAGTAAAGTAACTGCAGCAGCTACGGAGACTAGAAAAATAATAATAGCTTGTTTGCTGTACTTATTTCTATG